AGCAGGACAAGCTTGGGTAGAGGACAACAGACTTTGGAGACTACAGTGTATTAAGTAGGTAGTTGGTAAGAAAATGTAGAATGATGGAGAATTCAAATGGGAGAGAGACAGAAGCAAACTTTGCCTAGGGAGATAACAATGCTAGCACATATGCCTTAGTTTAAGATTATCAGTACTAGTTTGGAAGACTGCAACAACCAAGATTTCTCTAATATCCATTCTGTCTTCTTCCTGTTGAGAAGGTAACCCCCCCCCAAATAAACAAAGAAAAAGAAAACAGAAATAGACATAAAAATATATCTCTCTTCTGCATATTCCTTAATGAGTGCAAATTCTGGAGTGTTGGGAGGTTATTTTTGTGGGGAGGAGATTGCTTACTTCCCTTGATCTTTATAATATAGCTACCATAAGGAAATGGGAGTTTTTACTGGAAAGAAGAGAAAGGAGCAAAAGGACAAAGAATGGTCAAAGCTGGTTGGTACTGCATGCTAGGGTGCGGGACGGGGAGCCCCCTGGTCTTTCAGAGTATTAAGATGAAGACACCAGATCATGTTCTGGAAGAGAGAATAGAAATAAAAAGGGAGATGACAAAGTGTTTGCTCAGGGCTGGTTCTCTTTTTTCCAGGAGCCAAGTCAGTAGTCATATAACTACTAAGACCATTATGTTCTGTGTTTTCTGCCTGAAATTTTACTAAACAAAGATTCATTTGCAGGTAGGTGGTGAAGTGGATAGGACACTGGGCCTGAAGTCAGTAAGACCGGACTTCAAATCTAGTCTCTGTCACTTACCAGTTGTGTGACAGTTACTTTACCCCTATCATTCAAACTGTATACTTTTTTTTTGCAGTTAAAGACAAAGATGACAATGTTTGGTTAACATATTGACTTATGTTAGCATTATGAAAGTATTCAAATGAGAATTTAAATTACTGTTGACATTTTGTTATATGATGATCAGCTTAATTAACCAAGTACATTTATTTTACCATGGAGGAGACTTCTTTAAGAAATGCTTCACTTATTCTCTGTTCCACACTTTTTGGCCCACCCCTCCTAAAAAAATTAACATTGTATAACCTCATTTGCCTCCACTATAGCCCTTGAACTGCAATATAGGTCCTGGACCTTAAGATATTTGCTGCACATCAGGTTAAGAAAATATACCACCTACTCATTTAAGTAAAATTTTAATCTGGTCACTTGGGTAGCACAAGTATCATTATTCCTATCCTGCTGCTGATGAATATGAGGTGTAAAGAGCTTAGGGTGGTTTGGCTATGATCACGTACCTAGTAAACGTCTGAGATGGGATCTGAATCTAGATCTTAGTCTAGTGTACTATAATGCCCTGTAAGGAATGATCTAAATCTCTACAAAACATTCACCAACCTTATCAAAGTAATACTCTGAAAAACATAATACCCTATAACAAATGCAAGATGATATTTGAATAATTGAGTTGTCTGCTCTAAAAAGGTTAAATTAATTTAGTTGCCCTTTCCAATCTACTCTCTAGCACCAGTGAAATTAAACCATATTCCAGATTTCATAATCTTTGTAGTCATATTCAGGAATGGAAAAAGAATCCAAAAGCTGGTGTCAGAATATACTTCAAAAGTCTTTTCATAGATCCAACCTATCTCAACAAAAGTCATATGAACTCAAGACAAATACTATTCTGTAAACCTCTTCTTTGAAGGCCATGAGTTCAGTTACTGACAAATTAGAAATCTTAATCAAAAGCAAGCTTACTTTTTTGAAAGACTACAAACAGACTGTGATTGCCAACACCTATCTGAAGACACAGAGAAGGCTGGGATTATCAGAATTTCTCATTTCTCCTAGAGTCATGGAACAGTAAGTCACAGAATTCTAGAACTGGAAGGAACTTTAGATTCATCTATAAAACCCTAAGAGACATCTAGGTAGCACAGTGGACAGAGTGCTGGGCTTGAAGTTAGGAAGACTCATCTTCCTGAGTTCAGCTCTGGCTTCTAAGACTTACTAGCTTGTGTGACCCTGGGCAAGTCTCTTAACTCTGTTTGCCTCAGTTTCCTCATCTGTAAAATGAGCTGGAGAAGGAAACGGCAAACTACTCTAGTATTTTTGCTAAGAAAACTCCAAATGGAGTCACAAAGAGTCAGACAAAACTGAAAACAACTGAATAAACAACAACAACAAAATAAAACCCTCAAATTATACATGAGGCAATTGTGGCCTAGAGAAGCACAATGATTTACCCAATGTCATACAACAAGTTTACAAGCTGGGATTGGAAACAAGGTCTCCTGATTCCTATCCTAGAACTTTCCCCATGAAACTACAAGATGGCATAATCAACTTAATCAGTTTTATTAGGAACACCTATAAGCTAATGGTATATGAGATCTCCCATGACATCTTGAAAAACTGCCTATAAGCAATGAAAAAGACTCCATAAAATAACTACACTGAGCTGGATATAAATAGGACCTGAATGAGAGGGTTAGACTAGATGACCTCTATGGTTTCTCTAACTCTAAATCTATGATCTTATGACAACAGGCTGCTGTTATTCAGGTAAACAGGATTAAGTGACTCGCCCAGCGTCACACAGTTGGTAAGCATCTAAGGCTGGATTTGAACTCTTCCTGACTCCAGGCCTGGTAGTCTATCCATTGTCCCACCTAGCTGCCAACAGGACAGAAAAGCAATTATTAAGCTAAAACAAGAAATGGTGAATATAAATTCTAACAGCATGGTATAGAGCTAGAGACAAACAGGACACAGGAGAATCAGAGATTCATGTAATGATCATATTGTAAATGAAACTTTTTTCTTTTTGCAAAGGCATCAAGAAAAACATGAGCCTAAGAGGCAGCCACTATCGTCAATAAAATATTCTTTACAATACAGAAAAAGAGATGGTCACAAATTCATCTTTTAGCTATATTTGGATAGCATTCATTGCTAGTAAGTCACTTGCAAAACAGTGGGCAAAATACACTTGTTTTAAACAAAGTGCATTCTTATTTGCTATAAGGTCCGACCCCCTCCCCCACCAATCTACTTGCAGCGCTTTAGAATGTAAACTTTTTCCAGGCTGAGTTCATCACAAAATTTATCCTTTCCCTATTTTGGCTACTGAATTTTAATTACTGAATTAGTTCAACAGCAGACTATATGTAACACACACACACACACACACACCACACACCCGCGTGCGCGAACATCACCTACACATTTCTTTTTTAAATTAAAGTCAATTTTTCCCCCTTTAAAAAAAAAAAGGCAACTGGGGTTAAGTGTCAAGTGTTTGGTCCACATCTGAACACAGGTCCTCCTGACTCCCTGGCCGGTGCTCTATCCACTGCACCACCTAGCTACCCCTAAAGTTAATTTTTAATAGAATTTTTCTCTCCTCCCCACCTTTATCTCAACCTCTGAAATAAAAACAAAATCTTGTAATAAATATACACAGTCAAGCAAAACAAATTCCCCACATTGGCTACGACCAAAATATACGTCTCATTCTGCATGTCCATCACCTATCTGTCTGAAGGAATTAGCACACTTTAATCAACAGCCTGGAATTTAAGTATAATTTAAAAGTATTAAGCAAATTCAACTCCATCATTTTACTGATGATGAATATGAAGCTCAGAGAAGCTATGACTTGCTCAAGGTCACAGAGGTATTAAGCAGTAGAGCCAGGATTTGAACCTAATCCCCCTATCTCCAAACCTTGCATTGCATACTTTCCACTAAAATGCAGAAGGTACCCCACGGCTCATTCATCTATAAAACTTTTTTATACAGTTTCTAAACTTCCACTCTTTGTAGCTTTCAAATGGAATCCAACTCTATGGGGCTCTGGACTACATTGATTTATTAATGCCTTCATCTACTCAAATATAATACTGTAATAGACACAACAGGAAAAAAAGTATAAGAATCCTACCAACAAAAGAGTGGGAAATATTCATTTTTATATTAAGAACAACCAGAAATTTAGTGGCTTATCCTCTAAAAAATCATAATCAGATCATAATCAGAGGATCAAATAAAATTCTGTTGTTACATCTTTCAAGGTAACTTCTATGATACTGACATATGTATAGGAGACCATACAGAACCTTTATCATTCCTATTAAGAAACCATACCAGGGGCAGCTAGGTGGCGCAGTGGATAGAGCACTGGCCCTGAACTCAGAAGGACCTGAGTTCAAATTAGACCTCAGACCAAACACTTGATACTTACTTAGCTGTGTGACCCTGGGCAAGTCACTTAACCCCAACTGCCTAAAAACAAAACAAAACAAAACAAAAAGAAACCATACTAATAGAGTGCTTTCCTCACAATCCTATAATGTCTTATTAATGCCACTGTACTGATGAAGAAACCATGGCACAGAGAGGTAAAATAATTTTCTAGTAGTCACCTACTTTGTCAGTAATCAGGCCTTTTGACCCTGAGTCTTGTACTCAGTTTACTATAGCATGATGTTTATTTCTTGGGGGGGGGGGATTTTTCCCAGTATGTCAGACATTTATTCTTACTAAATTTATGATCAGTCTGAACCTTTTTAAATGCCCAAGTTTTAACTAAGTCAGCAATAAATAACATGAAATAAGTCATTTCCCCTTTATATCAAAATCAGCTAGACAGTTTCAAAAAATATTTTTAAAAGCTTATTAGAAATGGATTTTAAAAAGAAGTAGATCGAACACCAAACCTGGACACAAAGGCTTCCTAAACTTGAGTTTCCATTCTGCAACCAACCAGCTGAATGAACTTGTCCCACAGAAAAAATATATTTGACAACTACAATTTTTGAAAGCATAAATCACTCTTTACTACTACTGCTACCAATAATGTAATATTAATATTACAATATTACACCACCAATATCACTTGAAATTTTGAATCCTGGAATTTCCTTCTCGTAAATTAAAGCTAACTAAAGCTAGTGATCTGTTAATTACCTATGCTATATTTTAATAAGGTTGGTTTTACTTACAGTCTGTGGATTAATTTCCTCTTCTCCCATAGGCTCATCCATAATTTGCTGCCCATTCTGTGAAAAGGGGACCAAGTATAATGTTACTAAAACAGTTCTTAACTCAGTTAAAAATATGTGGGCATATATGGAAGTTCTTTTTCTTCCCTACAAGTTGTCTACAGCTTGAATGACATAGGACTATATAGGTGGTTCCAATGAATTCATTGGTATGTTAAAAAAGTTTGCTTTGAAGTTAGCTGTAGGTAATTCGGGATGAATTTTCCTACAGAAACAATATTATAAATGGTGGCAATTAGCCAAACAATGAGCATTTATTAAATACCAACTATGCTAGGTGCTTGGAATTCAAAGACAAAAATAAAAGTTTCTGCCTTCAAAGGGCTTATATTCTATCAAGGCAAATAATATGTACATAAAAGCACATATACCATTTATGAAACAAAATAAATGTAAGTTAATGGGGGTGGGACACTAACTGCCAGGGTGAGGTGGAAATCAAGTACAGCTTCATGTAGAAAGTAGCTCCTGAGTTTCAAAAAGTTTAAGTTTGAAGTCTGAAATTTAAATTTGAGTTTAAGTTTGATGGAAGGTTCCTAAGGGATACGGGTGAAGAGGGAATACTTTTCAGGAATGAGGAAAAGCCAGTACAAAAGCACTGATGAAGAAGAGTGTAATGTGTGAAATAATAGATATAAAGTGCTTTGCAAGTCATAAAGCACTATATAAATGCTGGCTATGATTATCATGTGTGAGGAAGAGCAAAAATAGTCAGTCTGGCTAGACCTCTGAGAGTACATGACAGGGAGTAATATACAACAAAGTCTAGAAAGATGGGTTGGAATGAAATTGTGAAAGGTTTTAAATGACAAGCAGGAGGTTGTATTTTATCCCTGAGGAGGCCTAGGATATGCAGAAAGCAACATGGTAAAGGCATGTGCTTCAGGAAAATCAATTTGGCAGATGAGCAGAGTATGAATTGAAGAGGAGAAAGGTTTAAGACAGGGAGACCAATTAAAAGGCTATTACAATAGTCCAGGAGAGATGTGACTAGAGTCTTCACTAGGGTGGTGGCTGGGAATGGAGAGAGGGGACAAATGTGGCAGAACCAGAAAGATGTGGTGACTGACTGGATACTTGGGATGAGGGAGAGTGAAGTGTCAGGGATAACTTTGAGACTGTAAACCTCAATGACTAAAAGAATGATGGTACCTTAAACAGATATAGAGAAGTTCAAAAGTAAGGGTGGGTTGAAAGGGCTAAGGTGTTGGGGAGTAGAAATGAGTTCTCCTTTGGATATATTGAGATGTCTATGGGACAACCAGTTTTGAGATGTCCAATAGGCAATTGGTGACATGAGGTTAGAGATGAAGAGAAAGATTAGATCTGGGAGTCAGGTGCCTAGAGATGTCAATTAAAGCCATGACAACTGATGAGGTTACCAGGAAGACTTAACTCATAACACTTTAACTGAACGATAATATTTCAGCAACTAATCAATTACAAAAATGCTCCTACAGGAAAATGTATTTCAACTTGGATTTCCAAGAATGCATAACAATTTAATTGAACAAGCACTAACTATGTGCTTACTATGTATAAAGTACAGTAAATAAAACAGCTCAGTCCCTATGAAGCCTACATTGGTAAAGGAGAATAATAAAATGTACAGAAATAAATAGCAACTTGGGGCAAGGGGACAAAATCAGGGAAAGGATAATGTGGCACCTGACCTGAGGCTTGAAAAAAGGATTCTTCTGAAGAGGAGACGGGAAGAGAGCCTATTACAGGCCTTGGGTGACAGCTTGTACAAAAGTATGAAGGTAGGAGATGGAATCTCAAGTTTGATGAAAAGTTGAGTTGTCCAAAAAGTGAAAGGGTTGAAACAGGAGGCCATGAGTTTCTCCCTCTCTGAACACTTTCCAAAAACTGCTGGACTGACCAGTTGTGGGCAGTGCTATAAAGCTGATTCTCAGTCAGGTATAGGTGGAATGGATGGCCTCTGGGATCCCCTTCCAACTGCACTATTCTGTGTGGCCAAAATAACACAACTTTGAAGTGCCAGAGCCAGATTGTGAACCTAGTAACGATCACGGAATTCTGTGACCTCAAACCAAGTACTTTCCCCATTAGGTAACACTGCTGCTCTAAAAAGTACAATGAAAATAACTACCTATAGTAAAAAAAAAATCCCTAAAAAGCAAACTTACTTTCAAAGTTTTATGTTGACAAAGTGGTCAATAGATGGGTTATAAAAAATTCACATTTTTACAAACTATCATTTGTAGAACTTCTATTTAAGTCCTACTAAGATGTCTCATCATTGTGTGGAGTTAAGCTCCAGTCCTAAGAACAGCATGATGCAGTGGAAAGAACACTGGATTCGGAAAAACTGGGTTCAAATCCTATCCCTGCCACTTAATGACCTGTGTGTCCTGGGCAAGTCACAACCTCTCTGGACCTTGGTTTCCTCACCTGTAAAATGAGTGGGGAAAGGTTAGATGATAAGGAAGGTCTCTTCCAGTTCTAAATCTATTCTCCCATAATACTGAATACTGAGCAAAGTCAATAACTTGGAGGCACAGGTGGTATTTTTATTACTGTGACTGACTAAAGGTATGAATTTCAGAAGAAAAAAAGATATAGGAAATGTACACTGATTAAAATATCTGAAAAATGGGATTTGATTTTTGGGTTATAGTTTGAAATACAGGAATAGTAAATATTTGGTCAAGGATGAAGCATACTAAGTAAGATTTATGAAAAAAAATGTATTTGCCTAGAGACATGCATTACTGATCAATTGGCTTTTAAAATAAAAACGAAGGGGAGAAGAAAACTATCCACCTATGTCAATCAAGGATCATTCATTAAGAACCTACTATGTGCCAGGCAATATAGTAGGAGCACAAAGACAAAAGAGAAACATCTTTTAAGCCATTTATCATAAAGAATGGCAAGTATAACACAGGAAGAATAGGCAACTCAACAAACATTTATTAAGTGCCTAAGAGCTAGGGATACAAAGAAAGACAAAAACCAGTTAATCCCTGCTCTCAAGGGGCTAACAGTTTAATGTAAACAACTAGAGAGAACTAGGTGTATAGAATGCTGGACCTGGAGTCAGAGACTTGAATTCAAATCCTGCTTCAGACATTTACTAGCTTTGTGGCATTGGACAAGTCACTTAACCTGTATGCCTAGTTTCCTAGTCTGATGATAATAACAGCACCTACCATCAGTGCTGTTGTAAAGCTACAATGAGACAACACTGTATTTGTAAAGCGCTTTGCAAACATTAAAACATTATATAAAGCTGGCTATTAATATTATGTACTAACAAGATACATTCAGAATAAATTGGAGATAATCTCAAGAGTGCAGACACTAGCATTAAGGAAGACTGGAAAAGGCTTCTTAAAGAAGGTGGGGTTTTTAGCTGAGACTTGAATGAAGTTAGGAAAGCTAGTAAGGGAGAAAGTGACAGGCACAGGGGGCAGCGAAGTGAAAATGTGGATTCAGGAGATGGACAGCAAGGTCAATGTCACTGATCTCAGTTTAAGATTTGCAGTGGTATGTTTCCTCAACTGCCCTGGGAGCCCCCCTACACTAACAAAATCCTAGGCCCATACTAACAAAACAAAGCAAAAAAATACTGAGACACCCTAGGCTGGAGGAGGAAATAAATGATGAGTTCAGGAAAAAGAAGATAAACTGAATGGAGGTGGCATATAACAGTCATGTGAGAGGAACTACTCTGACATCTGTTGGAACATTCCACTAAAAGCAAATCAGCTAATACATTCTTGACTATCCTTAACAATAAAAATGTATTTCTTCAAACAGTAGAACTTCTAGATCTGATTCTGATTAATAAAGAACAGACTGCTATAAAAGAAATTTTACAAAACCCTGGAAGGAAGTGACCATGAAATCTCACAGATCATTAGCTAGACTGCCTCCAAGAGTCCTTGAAGAACCTATGGATATGATTGCTGGGCTGTCTACTGTCAGTAATCTTTGAAGAATCATGGATAAAAAAGAAAGGTGCTGCTGATCTGAAAACACAAAAAGTTTCAGGTTTTTTTTTTTAAACTGGGAAAGAGGGACAACATTTTTATTATAGACCAGTGAGCCTGACTCTGTTTCTTGGCAAATGTCTAGAGCATATTTAAAAGGATGGTTTGCCAACACTTGGAAAGGTCAGTTGTATTTATTTAGAGCTGGATTTAGATACAGAGCCAGAATGACCCATAGAGGGAGTTGAATAAGATGGCCTCTACTGTCCCTTCCAGATCTAAATCTGTGTTCCATAGGATCCTGTAAAACTCATGCTGTATTTGTGGACAAGATGGACAGATGAAGGCTACTTGATAGGAAACTAAGAATGGTAATTAATGAAGCACATAATCTGAGTTGGAAGGGATCTCAGTGGCCATATGGTTAAACACATACTTGAAAGGATCCCCCACTCTTAACATACCCAACAACATCAATTTAAAGACCTCCAAGGATGAGAAATCTACTACCTCTAAATATAATTCATTCCATGTCTGGATAGCTCTGTTAGATGGCTTTTCCTGCCATCAAGTTTAAATTTGCCTCTTTGCAATTTCTCTTCATAGCTCCTAGTTCAGCCTTCTGGGACAAAGAAAACAGGGCGAATTCTTCCTTAAAATGAATGCCCTTCAAATACTTCCAAACAACTAACATCTTTGCTTCTCCAAATTTCCCCAATTCCTTCAACCAATCCTGGTATGTCATGAATTCAAACGTTCAGCCATTCTCCAGTTGACGTGCACCATCTTAGTTCTTTGCTACCACAAAAAGAGCCTCTATAAATTTTTGTACACTAGGTTCTTTTCTTATGTCTTTGATCTCTTTCAGAAATGTAGTATTGCTGGGTCAAAGGGAATGTTAAAATTAGAGTATGAAAGTTTAGTAACTTTCTGGGAATAATTCCAAACTATTTTCTAAAACGGCAGTAATAATTCACAGCTCCTTGAACAGTTTATTAATGTGTCTGTTTTCCCAACGCCCTTGTAACATTTCTAGTT